TTTAACTGTCATATCGCATGAAGTGAAACCAAAGCGTCTTCATGGTATTACAAATGGGAATCGTTGCCTGTGGAATTTTCTTAGATTATGGATCTAAAATTTTGATAGATCTATTTTGCCAAAGTAATATATCACCTGGGGTTTGGGGAAGCGAACAAGAAAAATCACCCTGCTCGACCGCAGTGGTAACTACACATATAGACGATGTGACCGTTTTCCTTTTCGGAGGAACATTATTGTGATTGTTTGAATAAGCCTTCATCACACACTTTAAGAACACCAGTAGAGAGCAAACTCGTTTGTGGTGGTTCATCTAAAGGCAAATACATCACTGTGTGTGTCCAAATGTTTATAAGGAGGAGGAAATCATGACAAAAGAGGAAGAGAACTAATCAACATTCCAAATCCATGGTTAAATGTTGCTCACATTGACCATCACACATTCATTGGTTCGGTTCCTTAGGGACGGGTGGGGATGGCTATGTCATGTCTATTGGTCGTGGAAAACCAACTGTTTCGTACGATTTGCTTTTAGGAGGGGCATAATGTTGGTAGATTCCCAAGGCTTCCGCAGTGGCCAGAATGCGACTCCTAAACCCATCAAATCGAAGGCTGCCAAGTAAGGGCATACGTCATGTTGACGATTCCGATAGGTATGAACCGATCGAACTGTTGATAGTTCTAAGCACTCCACTAGTTAGGTAAAACGAGTGGTTCCCACGGACCCGTTCAGGTAAACGTCTGCTCGTGCGATAAATATACTTCGTCCCACAATAGCAGGTAAACAAGTAAACACAGAAAGAGACTACAGAAACGAGTAATTTATCTTTTAGGTTAAAGCACCAAAGTGTTCTCGAGAAAAACACAATCGTAAGTTGTGCTACAGCTGTTCTTAGTTTACGTGTCATCATTTCGGCAGTTGTGCCGCCCTTAAAAGATAGTGATATGTAAGCTGGTGTATACTCAACGGTAGTGATCTTTTTTGCAACGGGTGACACCTCAGCGTATTTTCCTTATAACCATTGTGATTGCATATATATATATATATATGTGTGTGTACGCGCAGGAGTGGAGGGGCTGAGGATTCCGTGTGAACGTGATATTTGAAGGTTTGCCAGTTCGAATCAACAAAACGTATGATACGACAATGTTGGAACAAAGTGACACATGTATTTGGTTATCACAAAATCTCGCTGTACGCGGGAAGCCAATAGGATTTAAGTGAGAAAACGAGAAAGAATTATCATGCAGTAATGACTGTGCGAACAGATATCTTCTGATTCCATTGCAACAACCAAAAGCCACATAGAATGCAGGTCTATTAATTCGCGAACCTTCCTTCCAGTACGTAAACGGGTGCCAATATTTGGAAAACAGAGTCATTTTTGCCAAAGCACATGTCTCACCTGTGCATGCGTGTATGAGTTGACATAAATTATGATAAGCTGACACTTGAATGATTGAGACAAGAATGAGACAAACAATAAGACAAATCTTTGTAAAATGATTCTGAGGAATTGGATTCAAGTAGAACTACGATTTTAGCTTTTATTGTTCAATCCGAGAATGGCTTCATTCTTTCGCATAGGGATCTGAAATTACATAGATGTGTGGAGAAATACGCAATGAAATTTTAAATTACTGTATTTCTCAACTAGGGTATGATCAACTTCAATCGGGGTTGAATATTGTAAAGTGACAATTAGCAGTTAGTCGGTGTGCAGTCAGTTCAAATGGATAAAAATCCACATTAATTTTATTTGCGGAAACAGATTAACATTTTGTAATGGTGGTAGTTCAAATGATTTGCGGATTTACTTTGACACACTCAAATATAATGGTACGATCTTTATGTTGCTAATCAGAAAATTATACCGAGTAACAATTTGCTAAATTGCACCAACGTAATTAAACTAAAAAGAGGCTCGTTAAGAGTTAAGTAGTGCAATACAAAAGGGGCAAAGTCTTAGTATGCATCGTGAAAACGTTTACAAATCCACCTTTGCGTACATTACTGCTCAAGGGCACAGGTGTCATCGGAGGGGGGGGGGAGTTGTGTCTACACGTTTTCTCATGGAAAGACGTCGAACATTTTAGGTGAAAGTAAGGGTGAGAAAGGAAGAATAGTGATCCTGGAAGAAGTAAATCCAAATATTCCCAATCAAGCGTTTCCTAACAATTTTTAGATTATTGCTTGATGTACATGTAAATCGAAACAACAATGACAGGCTACGTTCGTCAGTATTTGCTTTATCATCATGTAATCAAAATTAACACACTCAGAAAATAATATTTTGAAAAAAATATTTCAGATCACGTTTGCAGACTGAGGCTACTTAGAGTAAACTTCTCTGATATGGAGTCTTCCTATGTATATGTCATAATCCTGACAACATGGGAGCAGTTGGTCTAGTCATTTTTATTCTTAATGGATGAAGTGTTCATCTACATCATTGAAGATAACTTTCTCAGTTCTAACCGAGCCATCAACTTTAAATAAACCAACAACCATCTGTTGGTGTTAACCTTCAAATCACTCACCCAATTGTGGTAGTGACATAAGTGAAAATCACACTATTTTAGGCCTGATGGTGTTGCACAACAGTTCGAAACTTTACTGTAACTTTTATTGCGAATTTCGGAAATAGACACTTGAGGTTTTTAATTTCTTGGTGTGAAATAAAAACCATATTCAGTTAATCCTCTAAAATCTGAACTTTTAGATAACGATCGAGCACCTGTTTGAACTAATTTAAAACTATACAACTGTAGGTGAGTTCTTGTGATACCGGCTTAAGGATATGTATGCGCAATTTTATTCTGTATTGAGTGAACAGTGTTAATGAGCCAATCAGCATTAGTATGCATGACTGATCTTTGATTTGTTATCATTGACAATTTTTGTTCCCGTGAGAAAGGTAGGTCACGTGTTTTTTCTCATTTTATTTCCTTTTATTTAACAAACAATAATACAATGTTCAGGAAGGGGGAAGTGGCCAATCAGATGGGGCTGCCACATAATACACAAATGGGGGAGGTGAATCAGGTGGCGATGGGATTCGAACACTCGTCCTCCGGGATGATAATTTAGTGACATTACCACCGGGTCACCACCGCCCGAGAGGCATTAGAAAATACAGTTGAGACTTTAGAGATCTGCGCTGAATAATTAACGACCTGGTAAGATGATTATCAAGGCATCTTACAATTTAGTGAAGCATCAATGCACAGAAGATGCCGGGGTTGACGATAATCAAAGTCCGCTGGTTCATTACTTGAAACCGGTAACTGGGGTTAGGTGGGGTGGGGAAGTTGGGCTCCTCATTCCGTGGGTATTTATTTACCGCAATTATTGAACAAGTTATGTTATTGAATTATACAAGCAAAGCATTGGTGTGATTCAAGTAACAAGGATATCCTTACAGAATGAAGCATTGTACATGAGGTCAGAGATGGGTTACAATCGTAGGATTAGTTGCTACAACCATATAACTCGTGTATTTCAATAGGTATGGAGGTCATACGTAACTTTGCTGAAAACTAGCATCCTTTTGCATCAAGAATGAACTGTACGCTGATGTTGACTCATTCCAAACAGTTCGCCAGGGCTGGTGGAATCTCAAACTCTGATTGGGAAATTAGCATACGACTGACCCTACTTTATCACAAAATATGACATGTGAGAGACGAGAGCGATCAAGGGCTAGCTGATGTTAGGACTGATTGTTTGAGTGAAACGAGATGGCCAACTTTCTTTCTCATATGTACGAAAAAACAAACAGGCAAACATCCTTTGATCAATAGAGAGAATGAAGCACAAGATTCATTCCATTATTTGTTGTGAAACGTCGACAATGATAAACATATAATAATAGACAAGGTATTGTCGTTTTAATTTCATAGTTGGGTCGATTGGGGACAGCAATAAGAGAAAATGGATAAATTTGATGAATCTTGTCGACTACGCACCTAACCGCCGTGCATTACTTTATGCCGATTAGTTCCACAAATATACGACCATCTGACCTAGGGGTTTTACAGGGGATTCTCTGACGTACAACGACTAACATGTTACGATTGCATGACAACCGATGCCACACTGTGAGGTGTGGTGCGTGTCCGGCTTCTGAGTCCATTTTCATGGCTTTGACTGCATTTTACAGGACAGAAAGTGACAAACTAAAATCATGAGTGGAGGCGTTGTTGCCTACACCAATCCGTCATGGTGCTGCACGTAAAGGATAGCATTTTTTTGTTGTTCGTTTAATGAATGTGACGTGCACTTCTAGCCTTCTGAGAGCTGATTATGCACTATTTGTGGGACAACAAGCTGACTAATTTAGTTTGTTTGGCGGTGGATCCGGTTGGTGCACATCAGTTTACTTTTTTAACGGAGAAAATTGAGCCCAAATCAAGTTGGTTTTAAGCCTGGTAACTGTTCCAGTTGCATTTGAAAGATATACTACCATCTTGGAGGTTCAATCAGAAATTCATATTTGACGATCGACTGAGAAACCTCACAAAAGATATGATATAGTGCATGAGTGTACGAAACGACAAAGCTTGCCGAACAACTTATTTCCAAACACAGAGAAAAACAAGTTCCTGTATATGATAATGGAAGGCACTGTTGAATTGTCGACTGGGGCGTAGTGGTGAGAGAGGGAACCACCAGTAAGAGATGCAAAGTAAGACATCACGACTTCCGATTTCCACGTGATATATTCTCAAAACTGCTGCATATAATTTCGTCAAACGAGAAAAAGCAAAATCAGAGATGACACGACAAGAAAATGAATTTTACACCAATTTAGCAGGCATCTTATTCATGAATGATTACCGATCGAATAATATAAGAACGACCAAAGACAGAAACAGAAAGCAAACATCATTGGGTCAGAAAGAAAATGCAGGGAATTGCGTGCTATGCATCTACCCGTTGAACGAAATAAACGCCAACTCCATACTGAAGTGAAAATAGGAAGGAAGTGTGAAAATGACTATGCTTCTCCTGAATCCTCTCTGTCCATCAGAATTCGAGTTTGTTGTGCATTCTCCTTGATCTTCTTGATACCTAAAATAAAAGGAATATAGGGCAATCATATTGTGCTTTTATTATTTTAACTAAACCAGCCGATTTTCAGAATGCCTCAATAATTGTTATCAGAATTGCTGTTTATTCCAGTCATCCGTCAATTAAAAACGAAGGCTTTACCTAAATCAACGTTTCCTTTTTCTAACTCGGGAAAAAAGGATCTCATATTGAATTACATAAAAGATGTATTTCTTCATAGTGCCGATTACCAGTCAGGCAGAAGGATTGCATGGTCATAAAAATCCTTTGTTATACCGATGCCCCTTCAAGAGGGTCGGGAATTATCGAAATTTTCGGTGTTAAAACTTGTTTATGATCACACATAAGCAGTGCTATCTGCAGCTGGACCCAAGTGATGATTAGCTGTTGAATGTGACGACAATTAGGAGAGCGTTTTTAGACGGACTTCCATGGAGATTCATGCAAACGTTGCTTTTATAATTACTTATGCTTGGAGGAGACGTATGAAGCCGTTCACCTGCAACCTCCAGGTTTAAGTACGCTAGTAGGAATATGCTTTATTAATTTTGTTCGATATTGCTCTATCAGTACACTCATATAACATGCATTGACATTCATTGGCTAGCGTTGCCCAAATTTAGAAGGAAAATGCTGTGTCTTTGGTGTGGAGTGACTATGAAAAATAAGTCTAGTACGCAAGCAGCACGTTTCAATTGGATAAAAAAATTGATTGATTCTGGCCATAACAGCTTTTCACTCGTCATGACTGCTTCCACTGCAAATTTCGCGGCCAGTTGTAAATTAAAAAATGGAATATCCCTCTAACGTATTGAAGTGCAACATTCAAAACAATGTAGGGTGCATGAAGAGTAGTCATTCATGATCCATTCTCTAACATTACTGTTGATCAACCAAAAAAAAATTGTTCCCCTTCGATTTGAGGTGGCTGGTCAATGATTTGTTTTAAGTATTGTGGCATTATGCTGTCACCGGAAATCATCATATTGGCAGATGATAATAGAATGACGCAATCATGAGCCAAAACATCTGAGAGGTTACAGCTCGTGAACGTGTTTCACAGTAAACCAACTCAAATTGCTATATTTTGTTCACGCGTTGCCTGAGAAGACTGTCATAATATCGGTTTTTTTTCTTTCTCGCAAAAATACGTGCTCTTTAATTTGTGTTTTGAATTTCTCATTGTTACTTGTTGATTTTATTCCATCAATTCAGACGGATCTAATCTGTTAGCATAAAGATATCTTCCAGATCACTGCATCGCATTAAAAAAACATCTGATTTGTTATGTGGGCCTGATCAAACTAATTAATGAAGCTAGATAGTTGCTTAGCCCTGTACTAAAGAAAACCGGTCCGTCTATCTAGTACTTGGAGNGACAATGGTTAGTTTCAAGCAACCGTTTATATGAGATGGAACCTATGTGAACGACTGCAATCACTAGGCTTAGTCGCGAGAATCACATTGAGGAAAGGATATCCACTGTATAGCTGCACGCAAATAAGTATACATATGAACTATGATATATATATATGTACATAAATATATAAACATATATTTGTATGTTTGATTTATTACATAATATTACATAATGAGATCTCTTCAAACTGCATGTGCGGTCTCCGGATGAGCTCAGAATTGGTGCGAGGGAGTAGGAAAGTGTGAAAAAGAAACAATGAACAACAAGTATCTAAATAAAACTATCAGGATTCGTTTTCAGTGAGCATTTTTAAGGCTAGAACCGTGTCGAGATCAGAGTAGTTTGATGAGAAATGAAAACATAGACGTGCCAAAAGAAATGACAAAACAAGGATGTACCAAACAAAAATGTTACTGCCGTGCCGAGAACCGTCGAATACCATGATTAATTGTAAACTTCCTTCAGGGTAGAGCCAAGGTAACAAAGAAGACCTCGTTCCTACAGCGATTCCCAGTAGATCATAGCAATCACTTTGGCAATCCAGGGCAGATCAAGTAACCTGGCTCAAAATGAAAGCACAGCAGTCAAAACGACAAATCAGCTGCAAACGGGACTGCCACTAAAATGAGCACACCAGACCTCGTTTCCTCGCTGGGCAATGATAATTGAACATCGTAGTCGTTTGAAAACTGGTCAAGCCTTGTATTTGGAAGATATTTCCTAGCTCGGGACCAAAGTAAGTTGTAATAAGGTAGCGCAGATGAACTAAACTTTTAAATTCTATGAAGAAACGGGCTATCACGTACTCGTTGTTCACCTAGATAAACAGCCTACGTTTCATCTGTAAGGGTTCTGCCATTCACTATGAGTACAGTCCAAAAGATGCTACTCCCAGTGATAACTTAACTGCTTTGCAAACTATTCTTTATTTGGCAGTTCATGTCTCCAGTTTTTCGTTCACTAATGGAAACGAATTCACTAATGGTCTCTATTATAAATAATTCTTCACTGGGATTGTGCGCTTTTTTGGAAAGTAACTGAAGACCTAATCCAAATAGAATGAAAAGTAAATCACATTTATAACAACAGTACAAATCACAACAACAAAGGTGTTATGTCAACACTGCGCCGACACGCGTAAACACCAATATGAACTGAATTGCTCCAACATCCGGTAAAACCTTTAGCCTTTCAGGTATGCGGTTAAGCAGGTGACATCAAAATAGCAAATAAATTTTGAGCTTTACGAATGATTGCCCATGGCAATTGGAGGCTAACAGTGATCAGTCAAACGATAGGTCATCTATTATTCCCACTGCAACCGGCTGCCGATTCCGTATCACTGGTAGCTTATATGTGGTGACCAACCCCATCCATGAATCACAGCTCACCTGGATAATTCGCTAACATAGTGCCTGCGTTGGCTTACCCTTACTAGCACTCATTGTCTTGGTGCGGTTCATATGAATTCCTTTCATTCTTCTTGCGCATAGTCAAATAACTTGATTATACCGCAAGTCCTAACCAATTGGCTATTGAGATAGAGATGTGCTCAAAGGGCTAGCCAATCGAGTGCCTGTATCGTCTCTATTGTGTCAAGATGGAGGAGAGTGTTTGCTTGGTGCATCATACAATCAGGGTGCGCAGTTAACTGCCTCGCAAACGCCATGTGAAAAGTAGTTGACTGTGCGTATTCAACCTTAAATGTACTTTATTTGATAGATTATTTACCGTTCGCAGTAGTATGCAGTTGCGGTGTTCATCTCACCAATGCAAATACGCAGCTCATTATGTTATACATGATATAATACACATAATATTACACAAATTGTCTCACTCCCGAAGAATCTGAACTCACCGTAAAACTGTTTACAAGGTTTGCATATGGAAGGATCCCCGCTAGATCATGTGATCCAACCGTTAAAGGATAGTTCGTTCTTATTTATTTCACAAAGTTGACACAAACATTTTTTCAGTTCTCAGAACAATCTCCCTTGAACTGAAAGCGCTGTGGACAAGGTTTGTAAACTGTATAGTTAAGTCCTTCGGATATATACTCCCCGACGGTTTGGCGCAATTCAAACGATGAATTTTTTCTACATCACAGGGTTACTTTCGTGACCTTTTTTCATTTTTTTTCCATAAGTGTCTCCAGACTGACTGCCGTATCCCACAGTTTGATTAATTGTTTGATCACCTGATTCTACGGGACCCATATCAGACAATGTATTGATTTCACGGGCTTATTTCTTTCTCATTTAACTCATACTGCTCTTTTAAAACACGCTGTCATATATATGCAAAAAAAACGAGGTGTTTGTGAAATTATTTGTTTTAGTTGATTTAAAGAAGTCTTCTTGTCGGTTACCCGCAATGTTTTTTATGACTGAAAAGTTGTACACGCTGATTAATACAATACCATACAATAATGGCTGTGGTAGGTAAAGTAACATGTTGCTCATTTCATAATAACCCGTCGAACAAACTCCGAATAGAACTCACCGCATCTTCGGATTTGGTCGGCCAATTCCGGAAACTGGTTAGATAATGCCATATCTGCTGGAGTTTGTCCGAACAAATTTCGTGAGAGCATATTGGCCCCGTGATTACTTAACCATTCAAATGCTTCTAAAGGGGTGAACAGATACCCAATATGATTTGAATTAACATATGATCTGACAAAGTTTATAGACTGTGATTTGTTTATTTTTGGAGTGCTGTGCAAATGTTTTGCATGTAATTCGCTTTGAATCCGTAAAAAGTGTAGAATTCATTTTATTTATTACTAAATTTCTTTCATTTTTTTTAACAAAAGACACGCTTTATGTTTACCACAAAAGTTAAGCAGTCTTACCTTGCCACACGCATCACATCGTGCTTGGCATTGCAAATTCATATGCGTCGGGCAGACAGAGAAACTGCGCCCGATTTCTCCTACATCCCTGCTTATTATTTGCTTGTATATATATCACTCATCAAATTGATGGGCACTGCATTCATTCAACTTGTATGTGTTTTAATTTCTCACCTCGTTTGGCGAGCAACCCAGTGAGAGCGATTCAAAATTATTAACTGTGGCGAATTCCATGTCCTAACCATAAAAACGGAGACAATGTTTGTGATAATTAACAAAGAGCACTGGACAGCTGTTTCGTCCTCTTTGGGACTCGTCAGCGAGCTACTCTAAAATCAATTGAGCCATTCAAATAAGGCGATAACCGTCGACCGTGTGGTTGAGGGGTAAGGGTTTGAAGTCTCAACTCGAACGTTCGCGGTTCGATTTCTGACAGGGAGACAAAAAGTACGCAGTACTGACGGGTCCCAAACAGGACGAAAAATCTATCCAGTGCTCCTTGTTGGTTACCACCAAATTCCATCGCATGGACACGTTTCTTAATTCTAATTCATGTGTCTCAAAAATGTGCATAAACCCGGTCCAATCGCTGACGCTCGACGGCAGAAGCGTCAATCACTTTGTGTGGGCTTCCCACTAGAATGCAACTGGTTGGATACACCTGTTGCTATGGTGGGTTCACTTGAAATTACAACGGTTCATTCAATTATGTACCCAAATTTTACAAACTTTAATCATTTTTATCATTGACAATTGGATGCTTTATTCCAATTTGTCCATGGTGAATCCCTTAAATATATATAGTATAGTATATAGTATACTCAAAATTACCCTATGTTCAAATCTATGTGAGTGCCCACTGTTGCGTTCATCGGAATCGCATCCGGGTTGGATGTACAATGTAAGTCCGTTGAATTCATGCACCAAAGACAGTCTGTGTGGGGAACAGAAATCACTATTCAGTGCGTAATATCTACTTCTACCTGCATACAATTTTAGGAATGTTCTGTTCATTGTTATCGTCTGTTTACTTTACTTTTCTTTTATGTATTTTGTAGTGATTCCTTGCTAGTTGCCTAAGAAGTTTTCAACAATTGGAAGACGTATATATACTCAGGTGTTGTGTTCGGACTAGATATACGAATGACACGAGCGACTCCTGCGTAACCCCCAGTAATAACGCGGAGAGAGAACACAGGTTGAGATAACCATCAGTGAGCCTATTTCCTTAATTAAACATCGACACTCAAATATATAGAACAAATAACGCATACGAGAACGGCGCAGTGACGCGCCAAACAATCAGATTGCGTCCATGATATATCGATTGATCAATTGGACAAACATTGAATGATTCGCTCCAATCGGGCTCAGGTTGTCCGGCGCGTTGCGAGCGTGCGTGTGGCCTGACTCAGAGGCGTACGCGATCGGACGGGTTGCTCAAGCTCCATCTTAACACAAGTACTCACGCGTGCGCATGTCACAAAATCGGTCAAAAGCAGGTTACCGTTTTGTGCAAAAATATTTAACACAGTCAGTTCAATCAGAGTAGAACATACCACTGCGAGCTGTGAGTGAATTCAGGTAGGGGTTAACGAATTTTCATGTCTCGAAATTGAAGCGTCTCTAATGAACACATCGCGGCTTACAAACAGGACCGATTGAACTGTGATTTCTATGGTTCGCCTCCCTTGGAATTATTATGGCATGCTTAATTCTGTTTTGATACTTCGGACAAAAGATTATCCCCATACAATCACAGAGCTCTTAAGACTTATCATTCATTTTTTTATTCCTGGGTATCCAATGTTGCCCAGAAATATGCACGTCTGTCGAAGTATTTGTAAAATCTATAGTAATTTATTTAGGCCACAATATTTGTCCCCGTTTTTGACTGGCCACATAATGAGGGGACCGGGAGAAGTGAAACGGACTTAGATGCCGACTATGCGAGCACTTTTGTTTCCCTCTCATTTCTTTATTATTTCACGATTCATGAACTGGACTTTATTTTGTATCAGCCCCCCGCAAATATCGCTCGATTTATGTGCACATGTTCAGGAATGCCTCATCTAAGAGACAGGTCTGATTCTATGATTCCATGTTCCATGTCAGGAAGGTTTTACCTGCAGCGTGATCGTAGAAAATGTCAATTGCGAATGATTTTCGAGGAGAATTTCACGATAATACCTTTTTGCAAGAAAATTATACTGATTTTGTTTCTGCCAACAAAGCATCTGGTTTTGAAAGCATTTTGGACACTGCTTAATTTGTTTTACGTTTCCGACGGTTCTCCTCCAATGATGAGGGACAGTTTAAAATCCGACAACTCCCTTAGGAACTTTTCTATTCATCCACACACGATTTATTGGATAACATCAGATTGATGAATTGTAACGAGGACACCAGTGAGAAAGCATCGGAGTAATCAGGTTGAGTAACGATGAATTAGCTAGTGATCATACTGTTGATTATGCAGACGTAAGTCAACTAGTAGACAACATAGGCCCTAACTGGTGATCAGTACCGTGAAAACGCCGACTTAATTTGACTCTAAGTAGTAGAAACTAACTCATTGGGGTCTCATATCTTTCACCTCAGACCTGTTTAGGCCCAGATTACTGGCTTCAGTACGTCAAAAGTCAGGCCCTCTGTGTTTAGGGTCTATCTCTTCAATTCGATGTCTCCGGGATTGAATAGCATAGAAGGACGCTAGCTGGGGTATAAATATATCTTCCAATTGTTCAACTCATTCTCCTGGGTCATACTATCTTTTACAACCAGTTGCTCAGCATAAAAAAGTGTACGTGATCAGCTGTTTCGACTACACATGGGAAATAAAATAGGATGATTTGTGTTGATTTAAACGTTGTTTTGGTTTTAGCAGTCTCTGAATCGTTGGCAGCAGTTTCCATGACATATTTTAAGCATAAACATATAATTATTACCGTTTGTTTACTTCACGTTCCCTTTATGCATTTCGTAGTGATTCCTTGCACAAACATAATGTTTAACCAATCGCTTGATTTGTTTCAAATTTTCGAGGCGAGCGATAAGGATTCCGAAATGAAGAGTGGATTGTAAATAAAAGGTTGAAGGGTGCCTATATTTCGATAACAATCGATGGATTGGATCATTTAATCTGTCAGATGAGAGATGAATTGCGTTGTTTTCAAAGTGAACTTACTCTGGTGTCCGTT